CTTGACCTCTCAGCAGTCTTCGATACCATCAACCATGGTATCTTCTGCGACGGTTGCGGGAGGTGGGAGTGGGAGGCACCGCCCTCCGGTGGTTCTCCCCCTACCTCTCGGACAGGTCACAGTCGGTGTTGGTCGGAGGGCAGAGATCGACCTCTAGGCCCCTCAGTTATGGGGTGCTGCAGGGTTCGATCCTGTCCCCCCTCCTATTTAACATCAACATGAAGCCGCTGGGTGAGATCATACGCCGGCACGGGATTAAATATCATCAATATGCAGATGATACTCAATTGTATCTGTCCGCCCCATGCCAACTCAGCAAAGTGGTGGAAGTGATGTGCCAGTGTCTGGAGGCTGTCAGGGTCTGGATGGGAGTGAACAAGCTTGCACTCAATCCAGACAAAACCGAGTGGCTATTCATGTTGCCTCCTAAGGATAGTCCAGCCATTCCATCCCTTAGCCTGGGGGGTATATGCACCCCTACACCCCTCAGAGAGGGTCCGCAAGTTGGGTGTCCTCCTGGATTCGCAGCTGACGTTAGAACACCACCTGTCAGCTGTGACCAGGGGGGGGGGTTTGCCCAGGTTTGCCTGGTGCACCAGTTGCGGCCCTACCTGGACCGGGAGGCACTTCGAATGGTCACTCTTGCCTCGTCACCTCAAGGCTTGATTACTGTAATGCGCTCTACATGGGCCTGCCCCTGAAAAGTGTTTGGAGACTACAGATGGTCCAGAATGCAGCCGCGTGGGTGATATCTGGTGTACCTAGATACATCCATGTTACACCCATCCTCCACAAGCTGCACTGGCTTTCTATTGGTCTCCGAACGTGCTTCAAGGTGCTAGTCATTACTTTCATAGCCCTACATGGCTTAGGACCTGGCTATCTGAGAGACCGCCTCCTGCCACCTCACAACGACCAATAAGATCTCACAGGTTGGGCCTCCTCCGGGTGCCATCAGCCGGACAATGCCAGCTGGTGACCCCTTGGGGGAGGGCCTTCTCTGTAGCTGCTCCGGCCCTGTGGAACGATCTACCCGTGGAGATCTGGACAATTTCCACTCTCTCAGCCTTCCAAAAAGCCACCAAAACCTGGCTATTCCGGCAGGCCTGGGGCTGTTGAACAAGGTCCAGCCCCACCTAGACGGAATGTATGGTGTGTTGTTTTAAAATTGTATCTTTTTTATTTTTAACTTGTTTCTGTAAGCCGCCCAGAGTCCTACAGGATTGGCCAGCATACAAATTTAATAAATTACTAAATTACTAAATTACTAATTCTACTTCCCAAAAACCAATTATATTTTCATTTACTTGTAGGCTTGGGATATTAAGTATTTATTCAATCTGTCCAATCAAATTCTTCTTCATGCATGGAAGACTCGGAGTTTTATCTCTACGTATATTGTTTCTATTCAAATTTTTATTAAAGAATTTGAATAGAAGCAATATAGATAGAGATACAGTAGATACTGATCTTTGATCACCTAATAAGGTCATACTAAAAGTGTTTTGATATTAAATTAAAGTTGCTATTTATTAAAGTTTATTCCAAACAATTAATGGACTTATTACTAATCTCTTAATTTTCATTTATTAACCAGTATACCAAATGTTGAAAGATAGCAATGAGTACAAAAATCAGCTGATAGTATTGGTGCCATGGATGAAATCATGGAAAAAGAAGAAAGATACTAAAAAATCATATACAATAAAAAGTATAATGAAATAATAATACAGGAATTTTTTTTAAAAAAAAAACCCTCTTACAGATATGGATGACTGTTCTGAATGTCCAGAAGACCAATATCCAAACAAAGACCAAGATTCATGTATTCCAAAGAGAATATCTTTCTTATCCTATGAAGAACCAATGGGAAGAAGTCTAGTTATTCTGGCTCTCTCTTTTTCTTTTTGCACAATATTGGTGTTGTCAACATTTTTGAAATATCACCATACTCCCATTGTCAAGGCCAATAACCGAAACCTGACTTACATTCTGCTCATCTCCCTCCTTCTCTGCTTCCTTTGCTCACTGCAGTTCCTTGCTGCACCTGGCAATATAATATGTCTCTTCAGACAAATTAGCTTTGGCATCATCTTCTCAGTGGCTGTGTCTTGTGTTCTAGCAAAGACCATCACTGTGGTTTTGGCTTTCATGGCCATCAAGCCAGGATCCAGAATGAGGAAATGGGTGGGAAAAGGCCTGACCACCTTCATTGTTCTTACTTGTTCCCTGATTCAAGCAGGCATCTGTATTGTGTGGCTCTTCATATATCCCCCTTTTCCTGATGTTGATAACCATTCAGAAACTGAGGAAATTATAATGCGATGCAACGAAGGCTCGGCTACTATGTTCTACTGTGTTCTTGGTTATATGGGCTTCCTGGCAGCTGCCAGTTTCACAGTAGCCTTTTTCTCAAGGAAGCTTCCCAGTAGTTTCAATGAAGCCAAATGTCTCACATTTAGCATGCTAATCTTCTGTAGTGTATGGCTCTCTTTTGTTCCATCTTACCTGAGCACCAAAGGCAAATACATGGTGGCTGTGGAGGTTTTCTCTATTTTGGCTTCCAGTGCTGGATTGCTGGGCTGCATATATTTCCCCAAATGTTATATAATTATTTTTAAACCAGAGTTAAACAACAGGGAACAACTTATTAGGAGAAACTCTTAATAAATGAAACTTTTCTTTTCTCAAATACATGGTGCTTCTCTATTTTGGCTTCCAGTGCTGGTTTAATAGGCTGCATATATTTCCTTAAATGTTATGTAATAATTATTAAGCCAGAAGTAAACACATAGGAACAACTTGTTAAGAAGACTTTCAAATAATGAAAACATAACTGCTTATTTCTGCTATTTCTCACTTTAGTATGTTTTGTTTTAATTTTCCATTTTATTAATTTATATTTTATGTTATGAAATCTTTTGTCTTGTACTTATTAAATAGAAGGTTCTTGGAAGTTTTCTATTTTAGAATATACGTACTAAGAATGTCTCAATAATCCATTGTAGTCAACACAATATGGTCATTGCTTGTGTACATACTTTTACATATTGAAGCTTCCATGTTTTCTAGGCCATTTTCTCCTTTTACACTAATGCACACCTCTCTCCCCCCCCACATGATTCTATTGTAGTCTGATGCTGTAACGAAGAATTTCAGTTGAGCTTCACAGCACTAAAATTGCAACTTGCTATTGCTGTACACTATTGTTTAGATGAGTACCCATAAACATTATTTAAATGACTAAATAAAAGTAAATCCATCTAGCCACTATATGCATCTGTTAATGTGGGATGCACTTCATGAAACCTGATGCCTTCAATAAACTTTGTATATTGGAAGAGGTCCTATTAAGTTCCTTGTCGTTTGTTTCTTAAATCTAGTTGCATCTCCCGGCCTTAGGGAAATGGGATTTGAGAGTGCGGGATAATCATGGTGATGCAAGTATTAGATTGTCAGGTTTGAGACAGTAGATTTAGTAGCTTCCTTTAGGGCCATCTTGGATGATCTATATGAAACTACTAGGGATAATTATCAGAGAGACTTGCTCTGGGTTCCATTTGAATACAAATGACTGGATGCATCTTCCAAGTGGAATATTGCATCCAGTTCTGATCAACATGATATAAAAAGACACCGAGTCTCTGCAAATAATGCAGAGAAGAGCAACAAGAATGACTAAAGTGCTGGATGCTAAAACATACCATGATTACAGGAATTGGGTGTGTCTAGTGTAATGCAAAGAAAGGCTAGGGGTGGCTTGATAGCCCTGTCCCAATATTTGAAGAGCTCCTACAAAGATGAGGGGGGTTAACTATTTTTCAAAGTGCCAAAACACAATACAAGAAACAATGGTTGGAAATTAACAAAAGAGAGTAACAACCTTGAACTAAGGAGAAGCTCCTAACTGTGAGAACAATCAACCAATGGAATAGCTTGCCATCAGAGGTTGTAGATGCTTCATCACTGATGGCTTTCAAAAAGAGACTGGATAACCATTTGTGTAAAATGACATAGGGTCTCCTGCTAGAGCAGGGGTTTGGACTAGAAGATCTCTGAGGTCACTTCCAACTCTATTATTCTAAATACTATGACTTCTTGACATGTGTCTCATTTCCATCATTTTAGGGTATTAATAGCAAAACTATTTGACATGGCTGGTAGATGAGTAATCAGGACCTATTACAATATAATATCTATTTTGTATTTCTTGGCTTAATCTGCAAATAGGCTACCTACCTCAAATTGAAACTCTGGCGCCATCATGCCACAACAATCAGCTGAGGTCTTGCTTTATCCAACATGATTCTGCCTATATGTAGTAGTGAGGTCTTCAGTAGATGCTAAGTATAATGCCCCACCCTTTCTCTAAGCGGGAAATGAACTGCAAACTATGGATTGTACAGTAATATTACATGATACTGTAATGTTTCCCTTGGAGACCCTAACATATTTTTCTTGGCCCTTTGGCTTCTGGATTTTAATATCTCTTTCAAGACCTCCCATTCAAATGGGCTCTTGTTGATCTTGATGACTATCTAGGAGGAAGGCTGACCATTATTATTGCTACCTATATTGATTATTCCTTATATGTAATATTGTTCTTATTTTTCCTGAATGAATAGGTTGACATACTATATTAATGTTGTTCTGAATAAATAAATATTTGAAAGTATAAATAGACAAATATCAACTGATATTTCTGCTTCAGATAATGTTTAACCTTACATAGTTCAATTCTAGTTGCAACAAGAAGTCTCTAGTTCTGTCGCTGACTGATCACATAATACTCATGTTGGAAGCACCAAGGCATTTCTGGATTAAAAGAATTAGCCAGTGACATCACCATTGCCCGAGAGATGCCCAGTTGGGAATTCTTTTCATGTCAATGGCAAGAGTTGGAGGGAAGGATGGGAGCTCACCCCACCCCATGGCATCACTTGGATCTCAAAAATAGACTTGTCAAATCAGTGTCCTAACCGCACAAGCCACCATGCTTCTATTGACTGATAAAAACAACTTTTAAAAAAGGATCACAACTGTCCTATTTTATCAGTAAAATCCAAAAATAAACAGTGTTCAATGTTAATGTTGTGTCTAAAGGGAGTAGAATGAGGTATTAGGGAGTACAATAATATATATATATGAAGGATGATAATAACTTAAAGACTAAAGAATTAAAAAGATCAATGGCAATAATTGGTTACCTGTCTAAATGCTTACTAAAAAGTTACTGGGATGAAATAGATTGTCAGGCAATCTTGGAGACTAGTCATACAATGCTACATGTATTTATTTTATTTATTGATATTTCATTTTTTAAACTGCCAGTTTAAAAAGCCTTAGATAGGGCTTTACATGCAAAGTATCTTTTTAATGTTTGACAGTATATGTGTCCATCTGATTCTCTCTTTCTATCCCATAATATTTTCTTAATATGCTTAATAGTTTTTTTTTGTATTAGTCTTCATAATGCACATCCAGTACTGGGTGAAAAATGAGTATTATTTAGTGGTAATAAAGAAAATTTAAATGGAGAACTTGTCTCCAACCTATAATTACTGAAATTACTGAGTGTGGTTAATTCTATTTTTTCAGACTTGGTATACATTAGCAAATCTAAAGAGAATGCAAAGAATTATGGCCTCAGTGGAGAATGGGAGTGTTCAAAGAAATCAGTGACTGTTTAAATCAGATTAGAAAACAGTGGAGAAATGTCAGAATAAGATAATTGAGAGTTTACATAATGATGAAACAACTGTTGCTTTCAATTTTGTTCCTATCACCAACAGTATGTATGGCTGAAATGGCAGACGATCCAATTCCCATTCTACACAATTATTTTCAAGCTGGTGGTTTTATCATTGGTGGTATCACATCTCTTATCACCATCCCTACAACCCCTCCTACTTTCAGTGAAGCTCCCCACCATTCATTTAATGATGAATTTCTGTGAGAAACCTTCTTTCTCTTCCCTCTTTCTTCTATTTCTATCTGTATGCAAGTATGTATCTGTGTACTGGTGCTTAGGTATCTGGTTATACTTACTTCACAATGTTATTCAATGTTGAAATGTATGCCCGTAAAATAAAAATGACAGTGTGCATCTTTCATCATTGATCCTTGATGTACTAACTATAAAAGTTGCCTAGACTATATTTGAGACTAAAGGAAATTGACTTCCTTATCAGAAAATGACTTTAAACAAATAACATGATAAGAAGGATTTTTCATTAGTTATGTCAAAGACAAATGAGAATAGCATAATTTTATTTTATTTTTGTATTTTATCTAGTTTGTCAAGATGTATGAGAAAGCAAGTATAAATATGAATATAACATATAATATATAAGTATAAGCAGATATAAGTATATAGATAATAAATGAGTACAAATAAATGGAAACAGTAGGACAGGCACGCTGGTGTGCTTATGCATGCTCCTTTACAGACCTCTTAGGAATAGGGTGAGGTCCCCGGTAGACAGTTTAAGGTTAAACTTTGGGGGGGTTGAAGATATAACAACAGAGTCTGGTAATGCATTCCAGGCATTACCACACTGTTGCGGAAGTAGTATTTTCTGCAATCAAGTTTGAATTGATTTACTTTGAGTTTGTATCTATTGTTTGCCCATGTATTATTGTGGTCAAAGTATTGGCCAAATAAAAAATATTTTATAGTGCCACAGGCTGCCCTATTTTTAGTCCACAAAATAGATGCAATCAACAGAAAATTTATTCTTGTTCCATGCAAAGTAATCCACACATAAACCATCAAAAATGCATGAAATAAAAGTCTGAAATGGTTTATCTGAAATGACATGTTATATTATAGAGCGCTTCAATGATGCATAAATTTAAAATAGGTCTCTGAGAATTTCCCTTGATATGATATTTAATCATGATTGCAGTGTTCTTACCAAGTACTATCAACATATTTTGGCTTTGGTATTTGCTGTGAAGGAGATCAATGAAACCCCTCATATCTTACCGAACATCACTCTAGGATGCAGAATGTATGATAACTATGCTGGAAGATATACATCGTATGCCACTATAAAACTTTTCTCCAGACAGAAGAAATTCATCCCCAATTATAAGTGTGAAATCCAGAACAAACTCCTTTCAGTCATCGGAGCACTTTATTCTGGAATCTCTTTCACGATGGCACGTATTTTGAGCATCTACAAAGTTCCACAGGTGGGAGTTAAGAAATTTAATATCTGGTCTATAATTTCCTGAGTTTTGTAGACTTTGATGGATTATTTTTTATTGAACACATAAAATAATATTAACTTATTACAATAATAAATATAAAGTATTTTGGAATTTAACAAAGTGGTAAAAAGCCATTTTGATCAGATTAAAGAGAATGTGAAGTATACAAGTGTTAGAATGTATTAATTCTCCACATAGCACATAATGTTCTCATACAGATCGTCATCATTATCATAAAAAAGAGGATTTCTAAGGCATAACTTCTATTAAAGTTGTAACAAAAGTGACATATATTAAGTCTTTGCTGATTACATTTCTTCCCTTTCTTCCTTGATGCATTAATATTAAATAAAAGAAAAATAATCAATGATTTCCCTGAATGATTGTTATGGCCCATCAAATCAATCCTAATTTCCAGTAACTGAGGTTTATGGACTTATTTATAAGAAACTATGTCTTTAGGTTAAAATAAAATTAAAAACCTGATTAATTTTAAACCCTGTATTAAATGGACATATTGAGTCATTTCACAGAATGCCCAGCTCTCTTGTACATATCAAGGTCTCTACAAGCAATTTAAACAATTTAAACTCCAATAGGTAAGCTCAATGAAACATAGTAAGTGTAGTGGGGTAGTCTTGGACTGAAACAATCTTAGCACTGAAACTAATTGTATCAGTCAACCTTTGTCAGACCTTTAATATTTCTTGTTGAGAAAGGAAACTATAAGACATATGCATAAATAAATAAATGAAAGGAATCAATTACAAGTGGGAGTTCTCTTACATCAAATGACCCTACCTATCTTGTGAAAACAAGGAAAATGACCCCTGCTTCTCATTGCAGTATTTTCTTCCTTCTCATTTGAGTATAACTATATTATAGTTAATGGAATGCAATCTATAAATATTTAGGAGAAAGGAAAAGACAAATAAATTCATTCTCCATCAAGCAAGGTGGAGCACAAAGTTTATACCATAGATGGAAAAGCTTGACATCTCCCAATATACTGATGTAACATATTGTGAAAATACAATTATCATGATAAAAGAGGGAACAGATTTAGCCAATATGTATATATTTCTGCATAATAATTCTGTAATATTCTTTTAACACATCGTTAACTCCATATCCAAAGATAAAAAGTGGAAACTGAATTTTGTGTCACAGTGTCACAATGCAGGGATTGTCTTTTGTCCCTTCTTCAAACCCATTGATAATCATGATTTAAATGAAAATATGTAATTGCTATTCTTCTCCAAATTTTTCAACTCTCCTTTCAACAGATCACATATGGTTCTCCTCTACATAAGAATGATAATTCTGAAGCACATTCTTTCTATCAGATGGCCCCAAATGAATCCTATCAATACAGGGCAATTGTGCAGCTTCTTTTGCATTTCAGATGGAAATGGATTGGAATCATATTTAAAGATGAAGATGGAGAAAGATTTGGACGTACTATTTCCTCCATGTTTTCTCTTCACAGAATTTGTGTTGCTTTCTTGAAAAGACTCAAGCCATTTTATCTAGGTACTGTTCTTGATGATCTGGATTGGCTAGGGGAAATGTACCTTTTCTTTATGAGAAGTAATGCCAAAGTCGTGATAATTTATGAAAGAAATATTGTGATTTTGAGAACATTACTCTACCTACCAGAAATGGAATTTGTGCCTAAGGAACCAAAAGGGAAAGTGTGGATCTTGGTGGCTCAGAGTGATCTTGCATCATATTCCTATCAAAGGAAATGGGATATCCAAGTCCTTCATGGTGCTCTGTCCCTCACAGTTCATTCAAATGAAGTTCCAGGTTTCCAACAGTTTCTTCGGACTGTAAACCCTTTCTTATCTAAAAATGATGGCTATTTCAAAGATGTGTGGATACATGCATTTGACTGTGCATTTCCCAAACTTCTAACCAAGGAACCTGATGGTACTTGCACTGGGCAAGAAAAACTGGAGACACTTCCTGGAGGTTTTTTTGAAATGAGTATGAGTAGCCATAGCTACAGTGTATATAATTCAATCCATGCAGTAGCATATTCCATACAGGGCATATGGTCATCTTCCTTCAGACGCAGAGGGAATGCATTCGAACACACATTTCTTCAGGATCTGCAGCCATGGCAGGTAATAAAGCATGTTTCTCATTTATTATGTTATTAATTAGTGTTTGTGCAATTATTGCATTTTAATCATCTATAAGATTTTGGGGTCTACCCTTATAACTAAGGAATCTGAAATATGATTTCTGCCTCATTCTTAGAATAACAGCAACAATAACTATTATTGTTTAGCACAGCACCAGCAGGAATAGTTATATTAATGCTTTTTCAGATCCAGTTTGGTGTAATAGTTAAAGCAACAGACTGGCAATTGGGACAATATGAAATCATTCTGACCTTAGCCACAAGGTAGTTGGGTAAGATTCAACTAGTCATTCTCTCTCAGTCCTAGGAATAAGACAATGGTGCTATTTCAGAAATCTTACAAAAAAACTGTAGGGTTAGTCAAGGCCATTACCAAAAGAAGAACACCAACTCCAATGTGCTTTAATGTAAACTGAGTTTAGTGAACACAGTGAATTCTTCCTAGATAGAATTGATGTGGTTTTGTAATTTTACTACCCTCTCCTTATATGATGTTTGAAATCCTCTTTTAGAACACAATCTGATATTTTTTTCTAGTTCCCATTTTAAAATGTTCTTATTTTCTGATCTAAACTGAAGTTTCCTATTTAATATTTGCATTTATTTTGTCTGTTTGGGAGGGTGCTGGAAGGGCAATATGAAATGTGCTTTCAACTGCTTATCTACAGTCAGGTCCAACTGAGGTAAGCATCATCAAATAGAGTTTTATTATTACCTTTCATATATTATTTTCTATTTTAAACTCAAAAGGCTATTATTGTACCCTCATGAACATCTGTATAGTCAAATTCAGATGAATGAACAAATGAAGAAAAACAGAATCATAGGTGCTGAGACCCTCCCAACACCTTTTTAGAAACTCTTGTGTTCTCCTTTGTCATGCAGCTCCATTCCTTCTTAAAACGAGTCACATTTAACAACAGTGCAGAAGATCAGGTTTCCTTTGATCAGAATGGAGAATTGATAACTGGATTTGATATTGTAAACTGGATCACATTTCCAAACCAATCCATTCATAAAATCAAAGTTGGGAAACTAGAGCCTTGGGCATCTTCTAGCAAGGTGTTTACCATTCAGGAGGATGCCCTTACATGGCCCAGCAGTTTTAACCAGGTAGGTGTTCATATTTTTATATTAATTTTAAATTATTTTATCTATAGGCATGTATGTATCTGTGTGAATTTTTCCCTCTCTCAGGAACATACATAAACTGATAAATTTATTTTTTTTTTTAAAAAATGCATCTCAACTAATATAGAAATTGCTGTTAAATAGTCAAGTGTGCTAAAGGGAAAGAAATAGCCCAATAGAACAAAAATTATTAAAATAATTTAATAATTATTAAAATTATTAAAATAAGAACTCTAAAATAAGAGCACTGGAATTTTCAAACTATAGTGAGTTGCTGGTTAAGAAATGGAAACAAATTAGTACAATAAGATCAGAGATGAGACCCAATTTGGTGTAATGGTTACAGACAGAAGACTAAGAATTAGGAGACTTTGGTAGCTAGCTGTCTTGGGAATGAAGTTTGTCTGTCTTAGGAACAAAGTTTGTTGGTGATCTTAGGCCAGTCATTTTTCTCTCAGCCCTAAAAAGAAGGTAATGGCAAACCATTATTGAAAGCTTCCAAGAAAACATCAGAAACTACCCTGGGATTTGGGCAAAATTAACTAGAAGGGAAAAAAGAAAGAAAGCAAGACAAGACAAGAAAAAAGCAACATCCCAAAGATATTGGGTTATACAGCTCTAAACATGAGCCAAGGTGGCGCAGTGGTTAAATGCAGCACTGCAGGCTACTGCTAGATCAGCAGGTCAGCGGTTCAAATCTCACCGGCTCAGGGTTGACTCAGCCTTCCATCCTTCCGAGGTGGGTAAAATGAGGACCCAGATTGTTGGGGGCAATATGCTGACTCTCTGTAAACCACTTAGAGAGGCCTGAAAGGCCTATGAAGCGGTATATAAGTCTACTGCTATTGCTATTGCTATTGCTATTGCTAATATATATCTGAGTGGAATTTCACCTTGTCACCAAAAATATACATATACATATACATATACATAGACATATACATATACATATACATAGACATAGACATAGACATAGTCATAGTCATAGTCATAGTCATAGTCATAGTCATAGTCATAGTCATAGACACAGACACACACAGACACACACAGACACACACAGACACACACACAGACACACATACAGACACAGACACACACAGACACAGACACACACACACGCACACACACACACACACACACACACACATATAAAATTGTGCATAATTTTATATTAAGTACAAGCTGCCTTTTTTTTTAAAAAATGGATTTTTTTACAAAGGTAAAAAAAATCTTAAAATGTGAGGGCTATAGTCTGAAAATCAGAGGTGGTATTCATCAGGTTCTGATCAGTTCTGGAGAACTGGTAGCTGAATTTTGAGTAGTTTGGAAAACCGATAAATACCACCCTGAGTGGCCCTGCCCTCATCTATTCTCTGCCTCCTGAGTCGCAGCTGATCAAGAGGGAATGAACATTTTGCAGTAATCCTTCCCCCAGAGTGTGGAGGGAATGAAGATTTTACAGTATCCTTCCCCTGCCATACCCACCAAGCCACAGCCACAGAACAGGTAGTGAAACTTTTTGAACCCCACCACTGGTGAGAATCTAATTCTGAGTGTAAGGTCGCCCTATCACATGAAACTATTTAAAAAAGTAAAGATAGATTGGAAGGGAAGGGAAGAAGAAAAAAGCAGAAAGACTGAGCTCTGAATATAATTCTAAATCTAATTTCTCTGCATCACAAAAAATTCTGAAAAGCCTATAAAGTTATGCAAAATGTTTTTATTTTCTTGAATTCAATTTTTCTTAAATTGTTGATGCCTAGTCAGTATATTTTTCCAAGCTATTTCCAGATTCTTTCTAAATTAACACCCCAAATTGACTACTTAACTCTGCTTCCTGTTCATTTATTAGACTGTGCCCATTTCAACTTGTACAGATAGCTGCCTCCCTGGTTATTTCAAACAAAAACAAGAAGGGAAACAGTTCTGCTGTTATGATTGCCTCATCTGTCCTGAAGGGAAAATATCAAGCCAGCATGGTAAGAATCTTCAAGTCAGATGACTGTATTATCACAAGATGCCTATGAAAAAGTATCTACATTATTCAACAATGGCAGAATATTTTTTTTCTTCAACAATTTAATGAAGTATTTAATGTCCAGGTTTTATCTGAAGAAACAAAAAGAATCCACACATCAGTTAAATAAAACAATTATTCATTAGTTTCGAAGTATAAAATGTTTAAGAAAGGATAATATTTTACATCAGTGTCACAAAATGAAGCAAGGCACTTTAAAATATAAATTTGTGAAATTTCTAGTAAAATGTCAAGGATATACATTACAGTGGTTAATTCTTTTTTTACTGATCAGTGAGGCTTTCCATCATGAAATAGTCATCCAACGTGGCCTATAATACTTCAGAGTTAACACCGTAGCCAGAAAGGAAGGGAGCTTTCTGTGAAATACTGTAGTAGAAATTTGGACTTTCTGCTACACTGAATTTTAATCTGATTGGTTATATAAAAGAAAAATGTGGACTATAATCAAGAGAATAGAGAAACAGTCTGAAAAAATATTACTATTCAAAACAGAATTTGCAAAGTTCTTAAATAAAGCATATATGTTTTTGTGCAAGGTCTTGAATATATGAGGGGATTTGGAGGGGGTCTTCATTTGAAGCCAATCAAGCAGCTTCTGTGATTTTTGTTTCAACACCATGAGGTAATCTAGAGTTAAATTGTGGATTTTTAACAATGGATTTCTAACTCTAGGATGCAGCCGAGAGTTAATATGTGTTAGTTAGGTAGCTGTACAAATTTGTTTACTTAATAAATAACTACTAATCAAACTGGACAAATTCATGATATGGCAATCATGACTAAATCAATCTTTTCATGTTTAGATATGGACAACTGCTTAGAATGCCCCCAAGATCAATATGCAAGCAAGAAACGTGACTCATGCATTAGGAAGACAATCACCTTCTTGTCCAATGATGATCCTTTAGGAATGAGCTTAGCTATATTAGCTATTTCCTTTTCTCTCTTCACTCTTTTGGTGCTAGGAACATTTTTGAAATATCATCACACCCCCATTGTCAAAGCCAACAATCGGGATCTCACCTACATGCTCCTTGTATCTCTATTGTTCTGCTTCCTCTGTACATTACTATTCCTCATTCCACCTGGGAATATAATTTGTCTTTTTCGACAAATCAGCTTTGCCATTGTCTTCTCTATGGCTGTATCTTGTGTATTGGCCAAAACCATCATTGTACTTTTAGCATTCATGGCCACCAAACCAGGATCCAGGGCACGGAAGTGGGTGGGGAGGAAACTGGCCATTTCCATTGTCCTTTCTTGTTCCCTTATTCAGGCAGCCATTTGTACAATTTGGTTGGCAACATTTCCTCCCTACCCAGACATGGACTTATACTCAGAAACTGCAGAAATTATATTGCAATGCAATGAAGGTTCATCTATTATGTTTTACTCTGTCCTGGGTTATATGGGCTTCCTGGCAACTTCCAGTTTTACAGTGGCCTTTCTTTCTAGGAATCTCCCCAGCAGTTTCAATGAAGCAAAATTTATCACTTTCAGCATGTTGATCTTTTGTAGT